CTCTCCTCTCTATTAGAGACTTAAAAGGATAGTTCACCCAAAAATTTTAATTAGCCCATAATTTACTCATCTGAAACCATCCTAGGTCTGTATGATATTCCTCTTTCAGACGAACATTGTCATTATGTTGTGCGTCAAGTTAATTTTTTAAACCGCCTTTTAACCTTAATTTGTTTAACCCCAATTTTTAGCACTATAATCATGAATACATTCACTTTGATAAACAACGACATCCAGCCATTCACTCCCATTATCAAGCTTGGAAGAGCCAGCAGGACATTTTTTAATATAACTCCGATTGTATTCGTCTGAAAGAAGAATATCTTATACACCTAAGTTGGCTTCAGGGTGAGTAAATCATGTGCTAATTTTAATTTTCGGGTAAACTATCCCTTTAAGTGTATTCTGACTGAGGTTAACCATTGTTTACTTCATTTTCATATCTGAATACAAGCAAACCTCAACCACCAAAATGTTTTAGTTTTCTGGCTATTTCTCATATGTCAGGCTTTACAGGGTTAGCAGGTAAAAAATAAATAAATCAAAGGAATATAATGCTATATAATGCACCAAGTCCTCTTATTGTCTGGCCCCTCCCCTCTTTTACTAGCCAGTCAGAACAATTCCCATCTATTTTCTCATCAAAAGTGCTGTTTTACTTGATAATATGCCACGTTACTGGAGTACAATTGTTTCTGCATTTGGGTTCACAGAATGCTGTTTGCACCTTAAGTGTGCATGAGTTTCATTTGTTATGTAAAAGATTGGTGTATTTCTCAAGTGGGTGAAAAAATCTTGCTATGCTGATCACACTCACCATAGATATTTTCGAGAGAGAGAGGGAGAGAGAGAGAGAGAGAGACATGGGTGGACAGTTAAACAGAAGAATGTCTCAGGGTATGGAGCACCCCTGTGAGAAGAACACCTGATCACACACACACACACACACCCTACTCAGCAGAAACACACAAAAGAGCGCTTAAACACACTCATTATTCCAAGACATCATGCAGAACATGCGTAATAAAAAACACATGGAAAGATCGTACTTACACCCTAAAGACCAATTCAGCTGTCCTCGAGAGAAATGAGAGTGGAGTCTTATTCGCAAGGAGTAAAGAGTGAGATCTGTTTGTTTGTTCTTATGAATTATCTGGAGATGGTTGTTAAGCCCTATTCGGATGGGACTAGTTTTACCTGAGGAGGGCAGGCACTTTATTTATTTTAAAGTGTTGGCCATTTAGACTGCTCAGTGGTTGCAATCCCATCTCAATCACTACATGAAGTTGTCTGCTAATAATTCTTACAAAAAAAGTAAAAATAACACTTTTTGTTTCTGTCATCATGTCAAGAAACAAGCCTGTGATTTCCATTATTACGAAATCACTACACCTTCAGCAAACTTATTCAGCCATAAAGACCTTTTTGTAACTATACAGAAGAAAAGGAGGATTACAATGTTGGAAACAAAAGGATGACGGACTGTTTATGAATCAGTCACAATGCAATTCATGTTTTTCAAAGAGGCTGAAGGATGGAGGACTTAAAAACTATATATTTGCACGACAGCAACCCACAGCTCATGAATAGATGCAGCAAAGCACTGTAGCTCATTTCCCACGTGAATAGTATGTTTCCATAGGACTCTCTAAGGCCCAACAGCCAGTTTAATTGTAACGTGTCAGAGAGAGGGGAGAGAAATAGTGAAAATGATCTTTAAAATGTTAATTTTTACTTTTTTGGCAATTTTTTTTTTGATTAATAATATAATTGTTTAACCCTCAAACACATACCTCGGGTCTTTAGCGGCCCAGGATATACCCTCCTCCTTATTCTTATTTTAAAGTTAGACATATTACTCTGATTACTCAATCAATTAATTATAAACAATATAAAAAGACATTGTTTTATAAAAGAATCCCTGTTTTCCCATTATTTTTTTTGTAAAGATTGTTTTGGGTCGCTAACAACACGAGGTTTGTAATAGTGTAAGTATATTTTCTTTTGCACAATAATAATTAAATCTGATGACCGTATAAGTGCAATTCACCTTTATTTCACAAGGATGAAGTGACGTTTCACTCATAATACAGCAGGCAGAAAACAAAAGAATAGGAAGTATCATCAGCAAAACTTGAAATGGCTCAGCGATTTACTGCAGAGCAAATACTGAGCAAAATCAAATATTACAATCACTGTCACTTGACGGTGGATCTGGTGAAGAAGCGGTCAGCCATATGCTTTATTTTGTTCTTCTGTAATTGTTAATATCAGAGTTTTAAATTATCGCGACAGGTAGAGATCCATCCGTGTTAGAAATAGATCCGGGTCGGATCTAAAGACCTGAATACTGTAAAAAATGATTTTAACGGTAAAAGACTGTAAAAATGCTACAATGCAAAACTGTTAATTGTTCACAGAACCTTTTCTTACTATATACGGTAAATAACTGTGATAGATCTAATGGTAAATTTCATGTAATTTTACTGTAAAATACCGTTTAATTTACAGTTTTTAAAGTAAAAACGAACAACCCATTGTATAATTTACAGTGAAAACCCGTAAATTGACATTCCCACAATTCCCTCCGTGACGGTTCGCATTTGATGTATATTTTTATTGAAATAACTTGTTTCTTCATAGTTTGCTTAGTCTTTTTCTAATCAGCTATGTACATTAGGATTTTATGTGACATTTAAATTAGTTAAATTAATGTTTATTGCCTTTTTAAAATTTTTTAAAAAATTAAAATTTTAAATTTTAATGTTTGAGTGAATGACTCTGTGCAGCTTTTATATATTAATATTAAGACTCCTGTGGAAGAGTTGCATTGTAAGCTTCCATTTATCATGCGTCTCATCACTGCTGTGATTGTTGGTTGTCAGTGTATTACAATGGTTTAAAACAGACATTAATACTTCAATTGGTTGATAATTTAACAGTATATCAGATCGTGAAATATGGTTTATTTCTGTAAATTTAAGTTAAGTCTTTAAAACCTTGTTACCTTAAAAACTTGCTACCGTATTTTATACGGTAAAGTTCTGGCAACCACAGCTGCCGGTGTTTTACCGTAAATTGAACACCTTTTTTTTACAGTAATGATTGCTGAAACATTCATGCATTTAAGGGTTATGTTTGCTTATTGTTGTTATAATTGTTTAATAATATAATTGTATAAGTTTGCAGGCATGTAAAGACACTTCCAACGCCTGAAGGCAAGGAAGTTTCTTTTTAAAGCCACTGACTTACACAACACTTGTGCTTGTTTGACTTCCGGACAACCCTTCAGTTGAGTTCATGCCTCTGATTCTTGAGCTCCATGACGTTTGCACCCGCGGACACAGCGCTGGTGTCCTGATATTCAGGGTCTCTGAGCTCTACACTGAGACACATCACTGACTTTGTCCTTTGTCTGTCTGTTCAGTCTCTGGAGGACAGTAAGGGGATCACATACAGCATCTCTGCTTTTCCTTCAAATCTGAGAGGGATTCTGGGTAATTTCCTTCCATGAGCCCCTCTTGTTGTGCCTCCAGGCAGCTATCAAAAATGAACTCTTATTCAAATGGTTTGTTTTATGATCTTTTTTCTTTCTTTTTTTTTTTTTTTTTGCAATACAAGGTGATTGAGAGATGTACAAATAATCAAGTCCAAATTATCATATTTGATATTCACATTTTAACATGACTTAAAAAAATTCTAATATATATATATATATATATATATATATATGTACACACACACACACACACACACACACACACAGACACACATATATATGTACACTCAGACACACACACACACACACACACACACACACACACACACACACACACACACACACACACACACATATATATATATATATATATATATATATACATATATATATATATATATATATATATATATATATACATATGAAGAGTTCAGATGCAAAAGCCTCTAAGTGCCATTTGAAATTTTCTTCTAGAATGATCATTTTTATCAAGCTTGTATATTTAAGTTCAGTAATTTCACTTAAATGACAATGAAGATTACATATTAATTGTTATTTAAGTGAAATTACTGAACTTAGATATACAAGCTTGATAAAAATGACCATTCTAGAAGAAAATTTCAAATGGCATTTAGAGGCTTTTGCATCTGAACTCTTCATATACATATATATATTGTAAGGGAAATTTTAAACTGAATATTAATCTAACCATGGTTTATCAGTTGACCTCATTTATCTGCTAAATCTCTGAGACAATGTACTAAGACATTTTGTACTTTAGAGATGTGTGTGTGTGTGTGTGTGTGTGTGTGTGTGTGTGTGTGTGTGTGTGTGTGTGTGTGTGTGTGTGTGTGGGTGTGCGTGTGTGTGTGTGTGTGTGTCAAACACCTGATTGTGTGTATAAATAACAGTTAATGTCACAACAACGACAGATGACTAAGTTCGAACCTGACATCTATGAAGTAATCATTTAAAGAAAGTCTCTAGTAACAGAAGAGGCAGTAAGTGAAGAACCAATCATATTATCTTCATATTATCTTTTCTTTTTATGTATCTTTTCTTTTGGAACATATGCTTGTGTGTTTTATAAACATAGATGTTTTCTTATTTTAGACAGAGATGATTTATACAATAGATGTGCCTTTTCAGTAAATGCTGTGTCAGGGAAATTACAAATAGGACAGACAGGCCAGGTCAAAAGGACATACAATTCTGCCCGCGTGCATTAGGCACAAGACAAATCGCGAGACACGTGTGATTAAGGAGAACTGAAACTAAGTAAGAAGAGGAGGGGGTACATTTTGGAGGGTAATCTTTTGTATATAAACTCTGTAAAATGGGAAGCTCTTTGCCCTTCTCATATCAGACCCTGTCTGTGTGGGAACTGCCTTTCTTGCAAGAAATAAACATGTATACTTATGACTTTCGAGATCTTCATTGTACTTTAATTAGTATTTAAGATCTAGGTATAAAATTTCCACAACAGTTTGGGATGGGATTGGATCGCAACACTGACGACCTCCGTGGCAGGATCAATTTGGCTGATCACCCCAAAGACAAGAAAAAGGTTTCTGGCTCCAACCCCCAACTTTGAGGGATGGGAGAATTTGTGAACGCCATGGGAGGCCTAGGTGGACGCGATCCGAGTAAAATCACGCTGCAAAAAGCACGGTGAGAAACGAACATTTTTTTTTTGGGCCACTAAAAAGACATTACTAAAGGACCAGTGAGATGTGCACATTTCCCTAAAGGGTCAGTGAGATGTGGGAGTCTCAGAGAGAGGTGTGGGAACCAGATTAAAGACCAGTGACGATTACTGGCGGTGTGCGGTGACCGCACAAGGGAAAGTCTCAAAGGGAGACCAGTGAGTGACGGACTACTGGCAGGGTGTGGTGGCCACACTGGAAATTTTCAGTAAGGTAATCTGAAAAAGGGCTATTTTAGTGCGGAGAAAAAATGGGTAGTTCTAATAGTAAAGAGTCTTTGGAGACAGTGGATTTCTCGAAAGCAAATTATAATTATATGACTAAGAAAAATGGAACATGGTGGCATCAAAGTATACCACGAATAATTGAGAAATATGGGTTTAATTGGGGTTTTTGAGTCCTCGGAATCTCCCTCTGTCGGATGGACGGGGATGAGGAACGTTCACTCTGCCAGACTGCAGAACGTTGTTCGACAGAGGGACCCATTCCAGGTGGGCTAAAAGAACTAAAGTAAGGCACTTTTCCTTTTAAAAACGCTTCAAAATTAATAATTAAAAGGTTTAACTGAAAATTGGCTTTTCTGTTAAGTAAAATTTTGAAAACTGCTGATCATATTTAAAAGATTTAGGATATAAATGATGTTTTTACTTTAGCTTATTTTTGTTTGAAAGAAACTAATTCTGATTGAATATAGAGAAAGATAAAGAGATAAATTATACTGCAACTTGCTTTTTGTTTGAAATAATTTAATTATTATTGGATAATAAGAGAGAAAATTAGAAATGTTGAAACAAGATCAATAGATCAATTAAAAAAAGGCAGAAACTGTTAAAATTCTAAAACATAATAATAGAAATATGCATTCTGAGGGAATTAGGACATTTTTAATCATAAAGAAACTTTTACGTTTTAAACTTCGATTTATTTATGTATATAAGATGTAAAACCTAGGTGTTCTTAAAGTTATTGTACTATATATATATATATATATATATATATATATATATATATATAAATATATATTAACTGTTTAAATATTATCCCGTTTGTATCCCGTTATCCCTGTGAGACCGTGTGGGGAAATTAAATGTATCCATTGCAGAGATTCTAAGAGTCAATGGTTTATGTTTAACAAAGATGCAATGTGCATAGTATGAGAATGAGGTTGGGTGACCAGTTCAAATATAGGTTGTGATTTGAACAAGCAAATATTATATCTTACAGTGATTTTATTTTGGATTCTTAAAAAAGAAAAAGAAGGGACATTAAAAAAACTGTATTATAACTAGAGTTTTTTCTTGCGTCTTTGCAAAGAAGAAATGCTTGCCTTTTCCCCCGCAATGAAGAACGCTTTTTAATAAAATGAGGAAATGCTGTTGATAACCAGATGAGATTTTTTAGTTATTAAACTATGAGTTTAATTTGAGTTTTGCAGTTCTCTGAGTGTTCAGGTTTCAGACACCTTGAAAGGTTGGATGACTGGAGATAGAGGAGGAGGAAGTGGTGCCCTCAGCTCCCCAGCTCCAGAAAGAGGAAGTGGACAGTTCACTTGAGGTGACAGTGACTTTTCCTAAAGACAAATTTTGTCATGCATTATGGAATTTTGTGCCAGGGTGGATTAAAGCCAGACCGAGAGTCTCATTGCAGCCTGATAACGAAACATCAACAAGTCAACTGAACGACAATCCACACAGAAAATAAGACTTCCATCCACTCACTGCCAGGTGCTGCATATTTGATCACTACAGAGAACGTTTCAAATTTAGTTAATTATCATATTAACTTGATTATAGTCTTTGATTATCCACTGGTTTCAGCAATTCGTCATCTTTCTTAAACTAACACTTTGAATCTGTTTCCAATGGGACCAGTCCAGCTGCCCTAATACAAGATGTTCAAAAACTGAATAGCAATAGTGAGAGTTTGACTCACCAATCAGGTAAAACACGGGGGCTGGACTTGATAGTGGTAAAAGCATGTTTTTTTGTTGAGAAAATGTTTTTGTTGACAATAGATTATGGACTATGCAGAATTCTCTGGAAAAGGAAATATAGGGCACAAAGTGTCCCAAAGAAACATAATGGCTAGAAAAGCAAAAATATTTGTCACTCCATTTCATTTGAAGGTAATTTTCTGGATTCAATAAAAACAATAAATCTAATTTGAAACTTTTGAAACCACATGCTGTCATCACCAAAAGGGTACGAGATAGAAATGTTTTATTTTTGTCCGTGGATCTGAGATTGTGAGAAGATCTCCAAATCTTCTTTTAAATAGCTTATGAGCAACAACAAAAAGATTGAAAATTGAAAAATTGCAATCAATGACAAATTGCATTTGAGAAATTAGAACTGGTTTTCTCAACTGCAACTCTAGTCCTATATGATTATTATTTTAAAGTGTTTAATCTATTTGATTTTGAAAAGTTAGGTTTGAACCTACGCTGGTCTCAAGGTTAGGTTCGATTACGATTATCATGTTATCGATTTTAGTTCAATTCGATATCACGATGCATAATGATGCACTGTGTCCTCAATTTTCAATTCAGATTTCGAAAAGTGATGTGTGTGTTTGCCTGTCCGTCACAAAGCAGATATTCAACAAATGACGTCAGAAAAGCGTCAGCACATTATAATTGGTAATGGTCTATTACTGAACCGATGCTGTATTGTCCTCATTTGCATAGCAATGCATTGTTGAAATGATTAAATTCGACACCGCTAGTTTTTAAGGTGTAAACTTGGACACATGGCGACTGCATCGGATCCTAACGTTTAGACACTGTCGCAAGGGGAATGCCACAGTGTGTCTACGTTCAGTAGATTCTGTCGTAAAAGTTGTTACCGTTCGGATTTGGTGGTATTCCACTCAATAATAGCCAATATATTCCCCATTCAGTTCATAAACTGCTAAGGCAGACAAAAAGGTATGATTCTCTGGCCAGAGAGAGGGGTGTGTGAAAGTGTATGAATGTGAATGTGTGAAATACGGTGATCTGAGGGACACCAAGACAAGTTAATATCAATCAAAACACCTGTGTTTAAATTTATTAAGTGGAATGGAAAATTTTGCCTAACTATTCTGAGTGTTTGAGTTATTGTAGTGGCAGAAAGAAACAGTGCCACAGTGGAGACCACCACATATGGGCTGGGAGCCACATGATCAAAGAACATTGCCTGAAACTGCTGTGTGTGAAAAAGAGATGCTGCTGTAAAAAAAAAGCAGCTGTACCGGAGGTGGCAGACGGACCACTGCATTCCATCCGGCCTGGTGATTTCGTGGTCATCAAGGACTTTAGAAGGAAGCACTGGAGACAAAAGAGGTGGCAAGGGCCATACCAGGTGCTACTGGTCACTCACACTGCCGTGAAGGTCGCAGAGAAGGTGCCGTGGATCCATGGGACGCACTGTCGAAAAAGTGCTGGAGCCATTAACGGGAGAGCCATCCCGCACACAGCCAGAGAATTCGAGAATTCAGAGCAATTAGATTGGGGCTGTTCAATTGCTGACTTCTCAATCCAACAAAACAGCCACTGGCCAAAAGACGAAGAACTGTGTTTAAACGACCCAAGCATATTAGGGGTGGTACAAAGGCACGCAAAATAACTTTATTCATTCAACGGTGAAGGAGAAGCGGTGACGTTTCCAAGCATAACAACTCGACCAGGACTCAGACCATTGATCTATAGAACAACTGGGACATTTGATTTTGAACAACAACATTTCTTGGCCTGGCATGGGAATGTGGGAGATGTTGAGACTGATGGAGTTATTGAGGAATGGAAGTAGTGCAGGAGAGGATGCTGGCTGTACAAATCTGATGGAGCATTACACACTATGGGCAGTAAAGCTGCAGGTTGGAGATATATGTATGTGAAGGAAAGTAAGGAAAGAGGAAAGTAGGGAGAAGACTGATAAAGATATTACACACACACACACACACACACACACACACACACACACACACACACACACACACACACACACACACACACACACACACATATATATATATATATATATATATACATATATATATATATATATATATATATATATATATATATATATACATATGAAGAGTTCAGATGCAAAAGCCTCTAAGTGCCATTTGAAATTTTCTTCTAGAATGATCATTTTTATCAAGCTTGTATATTTAAGTTCAGTAATTTCACTTAAATGACAATGAAGATTACATATTAATTGTTATTTAAGTGAAATTACTGAACTTAGATATACAAGCTTGATAAAAATGACCATTCTAGAAGAAAATTTCAAATGGCATTTAGAGGCTTTTGCATCTGAACTCTTCATATACATATATATATTGTAAGGGAAATTTTAAACTGAATATTAATCTAACCATGGTTTATCAGTTGACCTCATTTATCTGCTAAATCTCTGAGACAATGTACTAAGACATTTTGTACTTTAGAGATGTGTGTGTGTGTGTGTGTGTGTGTGTGTGTGTGTGTGTGTGTGTGTGTGTGTGTGTGTGTGTGTGTGTGTGTGTGTGTGTGTGTGTGTGTGTGTGTGGGTGTGCGTGTGTGTGTGTGTGTGTCAAACACCTGATTGTGTGTATAAATAACAGTTAATGTCACAACAACGACAGATGACTAAGTTCGAACCTGACATCTATGAAGTAATCATTTAAAGAAAGTCTCTAGTAACAGAAGAGGCAGTAAGTGAAGAACCAATCATATTATCTTCATATTATCTTTTCTTTTTATGTATCTTTTCTTTTGGAACATATGCTTGTGTGTTTTATAAACATAGATGTTTTCTTATTTTAGACAGAGATGATTTATACAATAGATGTGCCTTTTCAGTAAATGCTGTGTCAGGGAAATTACAAATAGGACAGACAGGCCAGGTCAAAAGGACATACAATTCTGCCCGCGTGCATTAGGCACAAGACAAATCGCGAGACACGTGTGATTAAGGAGAACTGAAACTAAGTAAGAAGAGGAGGGGGTACATTTTGGAGGGTAATCTTTTGTATATAAACTCTGTAAAATGGGAAGCTCTTTGCCCTTCTCATATCAGACCCTGTCTGTGTGGGAACTGCCTTTCTTGCAAGAAATAAACATGTATACTTATGACTTTCGAGATCTTCATTGTACTTTAATTATTATTTAAGATCTAGGTATAAAATTTCCACAACAGTTTGGGATGGGATTGGATCGCAACACTGACGACCTCCGTGGCAGGATCAATTTGGCTGATCACCCCAAAGACAAGAAAAAGGTTTCTGGCTCCAACCCCCAACTTTGAGGGATGGGAGAATTTGTGAACGCCATGGGAGGCCTAGGTGGACGCGATCCGAGTAAAATCACGCTGCAAAAAGCACGGTGAGAAACGAACATTTTTTTTTTGGGCCACTAAAAAGACATTACTAAAGGACCAGTGAGATGTGCACATTTCCCTAAAGGGTCAGTGAGATGTGGGAGTCTCAGAGAGAGGTGTGGGAACCAGATTAAAGACCAGTGACGATTACTGGCGGTGTGCGGTGACCGCACAAGGGAAAGTCTCAAAGGGAGACCAGTGAGTGACGGACTACTGGCAGGGTGTGGTGGCCACACTGGAAATTTTCAGTAAGGTAATCTGAAAAAGGGCTATTTTAGTGCGGAGAAAAAATGGGTAGTTCTAATAGTAAAGAGTCTTTGGAGACAGTGGATTTCTCGAAAGCAAATTATAATTATATGACTAAGAAAAATGGAACATGGTGGCATCAAAGTATACCACGAATAATTGAGAAATATGGGTTTAATTGGGGTTTTTGAGTCCTCGGAATCTCCCTCTGTCGGATGGACGGGGATGAGGAACGTTCACTCTGCCAGACTGCAGAACGTTGTTCGACAGAGGGACCCATTCCAGGTGGGCTAAAAGAACTAAAGTAAGGCACTTTTCCTTTTAAAAACGCTTCAAAATTAATAATTAAAAGGTTTAACTGAAAATTGGCTTTTCTGTTAAGTAAAATTTTGAAAACTGCTGATCATATTTAAAAGATTTAGGATATAAATGATGTTTTTACTTTTATTTTAATTTTAGCTTATTTTTGTTTGAAAGAAACTAATTCTGATTGAATATAGAGAAAGATAAATTATACTGCAACTTGCTTTTTGTTTGAAATAATTTAATTATTATTGGATAATAAGAGAGAAAATTAGAAATGTTGAAACAAGATCAATAGATCAATTAAAAAAAGGCAGAAACTGTTAAAATTCTAAAACATAATAATAGAAATATGCATTCTGAGGGAATTAGGACATTTTTAATCATAAAGAAACTTTTACGTTTTAAACTTCGATTTATTTATGTATATAAGATGTAAAACCTAGGTGTTCTTAAAGTTATTGTACTATATATATATATATATATATATATATAAATATATATTAACTGTTTAAATATTATCCCGTTTGTATCCCGTTATCCCTGTGAGACCGTGTGGGGAAATTAAATGTATCCATTGCAGAGATTCTAAGAGTCAATGGTTTATGTTTAACAAAGATGCAATGTGCATAGTATGAGAATGAGGTTGGGTGACCAGTTCAAATATAGGTTGTGATTTGAACAAGCAAATATTATATCTTACAGTGATTTTATTTTGGATTCTTAAAAAAGAAAAAGAAGGGACATTAAAAAAACTGTATTATAACTAGAGTTTTTTCTTGCGTCTTTGCAAAGAAGAAATGCTTGCCTTTTCCCCCGCAATGAAGAACGCTTTTTAATAAAATGAGGAAATGCTGTTGATAACCAGATGAGATTTTTTAGTTATTAAACTATGAGTTTAATTTGAGTTTTGCAGTTCTCTGAGTGTTCAGGTTTCAGACACCTTGAAAGGTTGGATGACTGGAGATAGAGGAGGAGGAAGTGGTGCCCTCAGCTCCCCAGCTCCAGAAAGAGGAAGTGGACAGTTCACTTGAGGTGACAGTGACTTTTCCTAAAGACAAATTTTGTCATGCATTATGGAATTTTGTGCCAGGGTGGATTAAAGCCAGACCGAGAGTCTCATTGCAGTCAACAAGTCAACTGAACGACAATCCACACAGAAAATAAGACTTCCATCCACTCACTGCCAGGTGCTGCATATTTGATCACTACAGAGAACGTTTCAAATTTAGTTAATTATCATATTAACTTGATTATAGTCTTTGATTATCCACTGGTTTCAGCAATTCGTCATCTTTCTTAAACTAACACTTTGAATCTGTTTCCAATGGGACCAGTCCAGCTGCCCTAATACAAGATGTTCAAAAACTGAATAGCAATAGTGAGAGTTTGACTCACCAATCAGGTAAAACACGGGGGCTGGACTTGATAGTGGTAAAAGCATGTTTTTTTGTTGAGAAAATGTTTTTGTTGACAATAGATTATGGACTATGCAGAATTCTCTGGAAAAGGAAATATAGGGCACAAAGTGTCCCAAAGAAACATAATGGCTAGAAAAGCAAAAATATTTGTCACTCCATTTCATTTGAAGGTAATTTTCTGGATTCAATAAAAACAATAAATCTAATTTGAAACTTTTGAAACCACATGCTGTCATCACCAAAAGGGTACGAGATAGAAATGTTTTATTTTTGTCCGTGGATCTGAGATTGTGAGAAGATCTCCAAATCTTCTTTTAAATAGCTTATGAGCAACAACAAAAAGATTGAAAATTGAAAAATTGCAATCAATGACAAATTGCATTTGAGAAATTAGAACTGGTTTTCTCAACTGCAACTCTAGTCCTATATGATTATTATTTTAAAGTGTTTAATCTATTTGATTTTGAAAAGTTAGGTTTGAACCTACGCTGGTCTCAAGGTTAGGTTCGATTACGATTATCATGTTATCGATTTTAGTTCAATTCGATATCACGATGCATAATGATGCACTGTGTCCTCAATTTTCAATTCAGATTTCGAAAAGTGATGTGTGTGTTTGCCTGTCCGTCACAAAGCAGATATTCAACAAATGACGTCAGAAAAGCGTCAGCACATTATAATTGGTAATGGTCTATTACTGAACCGATGCTGTATTGTCCTCATTTGCATAGCAATGCATTGTTGAAATGATTAAATTCGACACCGCTAGTTTTTAAGGTGTAAACTTGGACACATGGCGACTGCATCGGATCCTAACGTTTAGACACTGTCGCAAGGGGAATGCCACAGTGTGTCTACGTTCAGTAGATTCTGTCGTAAAAGTTGTTACCGTTCGGATTTGGTGGTATTCCACTCAATAATAGCCAATATATTCCCCATTCAGTTCATAAACTGCTAAGGCAGACAAAAAGGTATGATTCTCTGGCCAGAGAGAGGGGTGTGTGAAAGTGTATGAATGTGAATGTGTGAAATACGGTGATCTGAGGGACACCAAGACAAGTTAATATCAATCAAAACACCTGTGTTTAAATTTATTAAGTGGAATGGAAAATTTTGCCTAACTATTCTGAGTGTTTGAGTTATTGTAGTGGCAGAAAGAAACAGTGCCACAGTGGAGACCACCACATATGGGCTGGGAGCCACATGATCAAAGAACATTGCCTGAAACTGCTGTGTGTGAAAAAGAGATGCTGCTGTAAAAAAAAAGCAGCTGTACCGGAGGTGGCAGACGGACCACTGCATTCCATCCGGCCTGGTGATTTCGTGGTCATCAAGGACTTTAGAAGGAAGCACTGGAGACAAAAGAGGTGGCAAGGGCCATACCAGGTGCTACTGGTCACTCACACTGCCGTGAAGGTCGCAGAGAAGGTGCCGTGGATCCATGGGACGCACTGTCGAAAAAGTGCTGGAGCCATTAACGGGAGAGCCATCCCGCACACAGCCAGAGAATTCGAGAATTCAGAGCAATTAGATTGGGGCTGTTCAATTGCTGACTTCTCAAT